GAAACAGTAACTTATTTTGAGGGCTTGAGCTGGTTCCCAGTTCTGCATTTTCTCTCAGCTCAAGAAATATTGTGTCTGTGTGTTGGGGGGGGGAGTTGATAAATTGTGTGCAATTGATAACACTGAAAATAAAATAAAATTTGGAACTACTCTTTGACTGATCCCTGTGAGGAAAGATAAGTCAATTCTTGGGTGAGGTAAGACTGCATTTGTCTTTTGAAAATGCAGCCCCCACTCACACACCCATTGCTCCCACTCACACACCCATCGCCCCCACTCCCACACCCATTGCTCCCACTCACACACCCATCGCCCCCGTTCACATACCCATTGCATTCATCTTCCCTGGGATGGACAGTTGTAAAGAATTTATCCACATTTAAACATGAGGAGATTTCTCTCTTTTCTTCTTCTTCCTTTCAACCAATAACCCCCCTCCATCCCCTCATGGTAGTACTTTACAGTCTGGACACATTTCTGGAGAAAAAAAGGATTTAGGTTCAATGTCAGGGTATTCTTGGGTTGGTGGGGAGGCGATGGCACCTTGCCATATTCACATTTTCCTGTCCTGTGAAAGACACTAAAATATCCCACCCACCCCCCTCCATGTTTCCATGTGTTTCTATAAAAGAGGACATGGGAATATTTGACGTGGGAATATTTTTAAGGCAACACTTAACGCAAGCTTCCACTTTTCTCTGCTCCAATAGATTTATCCTATACAATGGATGAAGCTTGGAAGCTGTTAAATGAAACTATGTGCTAATGCCTTCTCATTTGTAGTTGATTGCCAGTATTTACAGGATTTCTTTCTTTCTTTCTTTCTTTCTTTCTTTCTTTCTTTCTTTCTTTCTTTCTTTCTTTCTTTCTTTTGTGGGCTAGAGGCAGAGTGTGCTTTGCTGTGTTAGGCTGCAGCCCGAGTGCCAATGAGAACTTACAGTGATGCACTAGAGCTGGCCAAATGTTTTAATCTTTCTTAATGGAGGCGCTGCTAATTATTTTGTAAATGAAAAGAAAAGTATATCAAAACATTCGGTGTCAGTATTGTATATCTGAGGTAAGGAGCCTAAAAGAGCTGGATTCCAGTTTGCAAAGTTTACCTGGGTTTAAAAATAGCTTTGAAAATAATTGTTGTAGGTTTAGTCCATCTGCCCCGGTCACCCCGAGCCATTCTTGCTAGGAGATTCTAAGTGTGGTTGTCTTGCGGAGCTACATTTCTAAGCTCTTTTTGAAACCAGAATCCAAGATCACCTCTCACAGGCATCTACTATCAACTCTTGTCTACAATCCTTCTGCCCTACCCATGCTGCTTAGCCCAATGAAATGGAATTCCTCTATGAAAACTGGCAATTTATTTGATTTTTTTTTTGGTGGCCCAGTAAAAGGTATCACCCATTCTTATGTTTGTGTAACCATAAGGACAACACAGCCTTTTCCTTATTGTTTCTAAACTCTGCTGCTAGCCTTCCTGTTTCTCATTTGGCAGAGCTGGGCTGCCCTCCTGTGGTAAACGGAAGAAGCACAACGTTATTGTTTTTAATTCCTTTTATAGATTCTTCTCTTCATGGGCCACAGGAGGGCAGCAGGAAAGTTGAGTTTTTCACAGTACCCAGTTTTTTTTAACTCCAACCATCCTGTCCAATTCTTTTCAGTGAATATGGCCAAAACACCTCAGACTGCCTCACCTACTTCATCCCCACCCACCATTTTTCAATGACATTTTTTGAAATCGGTAGAAGTTTGGCTAGACTTGCATCCAGTGAGTTTAGCAATCAGTGTAAAAAAGCATTCCCCCCACCCACCCACAACGTCATAATTTTGGAAATAATACTGAAGTAGAGGAAAGAAGTGAGAGTTGGTTTTATCAAAAAGGCATTTATCACATTTAATTTTGAAAACTAACATTATTGCACAAATATAGTCAACACCATCAACCTTTATAGCAGCAACAATTGTCCCACAAGAGTGTCAGATCTTCAGCTTGCGGGTCAGTTCAGCTGTGAAGTAACAATGTAGAACTCTAGTTGTTGAAAAATCACTAAGGCATCTTGGTGGATCACCTGCCAAGCACAGTGAGTGTCCTTTTTCAAGAAAGAAAACATGAGAAGTGTTATTTATTTATTAGAAAAGATTTAATGGCATGCTCTTTAGAATGTTGGCCTGTGTGAGCAAGTGATAACTCGGAATAAATTAGAAATATTTTTAGACGTACAACATAAAGATTTGTATTCCTGCATCAAGCAGGGGGTTGGACTTGATGGCCTTATAGGCCCCTTTCAACTTCACTATTATATTACAGTGGTGCCTCGCAAGACAAATTTAATTCGTTCCGCCGTTAATGTTGTCTTGTTAAAAATTTGTCTTGCAAAACGCGTTTTCCCATAGGAACGCATTGAAATCTAATTAATGCCTTCCTGTGGGCAAAGTCAGAACAAAGTCAAATTTGGTTTACAAAGGGTTTGTTAAGTGCTCTTTAAAGCCATACGTATTGTGCAGATGATTTCAAAAATTCCAATCAAAAAACTTTTAACTTTTTAAACATCATAGAAAAACGTTTAAAAATCAGTGAACATGAGGCAGGAACAAAAAAATGGGAAACATTTGTCTTGCGAAGCATGGCCTTAGGAACATTTGTCTTGCGAGTCATCAACCCCCATTGCCAAAACCACTTGCCTTACGAGTTTTTTGTCCGGCGAGGCATTTGTCTTGCAAGGCACCACTGTATTCTATGTGGAAAGAAATGCTTGTGTGTGTGTGTGTGTTTTCTATGCTCTCAAGTTGGAACTGACTTTTAGTGACGCTAATAGGGCTTGCAAGGTAAACAAGATATTTAAGGAGTGTTTTTACCATTTCCATTCCCCCTGTTAGTTTCCGTGGCCAAGCTGGGATTCGAACCCTGTACTCGGGAGTCCAAGTCCCTTACCCTATCCATGACACCACATTTGGGAATCTTGAGTTACTTACCCTGTTCAAAAATATTTTCATCTTTTTAAAGCATTCATTAACTGTAATGGTAGTCAGTTGATGACTGAAGCGGGATCGTAGCTGTAAATGAAGTGGAAAGGAAAATGAGAAAACAAATGCTAATTAACTGAATTGCAAAAAACACACAAACAAAAACCACATTGTTACTTTTAAAAGAAAAGAGGAGGAGTGGCCTGGGAGATGGGAGCCTCAGTTTCATATTTGCTCTCTGCCGTGAACCGAGAAATCACTTCTTTCACTTTAATCTTGAGGGAAAACACCATAAAACACTTTGAATGCCACAAATATGGCTGTCAGTTGACCAGATTACAAAACTGGCCTGACTTGTGAAAAACGCTAGATCGGCCGATGATAGGCTGACAGCCATCCATAAATGGGAACACACAGTCCCTGACAAATGCTAATTAACTGAGTTGCAAAAAAACCACCATTGTTACTTTTAAAAGAAAGGAGGAGTATTGTGCTTGGAGATGGGAGCCTCAGGTTCATATTTGCTCTCTGCTGTGAACCAAGTTGGATGATTTTAGAGAAATCACTTCTTTCACTTTAATCTTGAGGGAAAACACCATAAAACACTTTGAATGCCACAAATATGGCTGTCAGTTGACCAGATTACAAAACTGGCCTGACTTGTGAAAAACGCTAGATCGGCCGATGATAGGCTGACAGCCATCCATAAATGGGAACACACAGTCCCTCATTCTGCATGGCCTTTCCTACAAGACCAGACCATATTTCACAGCTGCTTGATGCCAACAGCAACCTTCGAGATACTTCCTGATGATGGAGGGAACTGAGAGCCAGGCTTGACATGAAGGAAAATCCATATCCAATGTTACCAATATGATTTCCTTTCAGTGACAGAATTTCTTCAGAGTGATATGCCTTAGTAACAAAATTTCTAAAGTAAACTCAAGTTTATCTCCCAGAAATAAGTCACAGTGTACAGCATGGCTAAATGCAAGATGCGGAGGTGATGAAAAGAACTTGCTATGACAAATGCCTTTCACCACTTGAGGAAGCACTACTTCTAGAACCATGCTGAATATATTGGGCTTGATTGGAACTCAAAAAGTTACAGATTAAAAAGAACTCTCTGTACTACTCATTACTTCTTGGCTAGATTGTTGTTATTGTTGCTCCTATTGTGCAAGTATTTGGTAGCATTGTTTTTTAACATATTGCCTTGTTACCACCACACCAGAAAAATATCAGGAGATACTCTTTGGTGACCTCTAGTGGTCAGTTCTGATATTTGACCATGTATATATTTATAAACAAATAAAAAACAGCCCCAAATGTTACTTTCACCACTTACGATTGATAAAACAATGGCATAAAACCTGAAAAAAAAACTGTTAAAAGTTAAAATGTCTTAGAATGACCTAAAACGTAACAAATGAACACTACTAGGTGTTTCTTTTTACCAGGTGTTTCTTGTTACACCTAAGGAATATCTTTGCAATTACAAGGGACATTTCTTGTTACCCCAAAAATAACTAGTTACATCCAAGCTCTGAGTTTGACCCATAACTAGCTATCCAATGCAAACCAAACTGGGGATTCAGCTAGATGCAATGGTCATGTCAAGAGACTATGTATATTCCATTGCACACATGGATAAGAAGTGATTAAAGGGATCTTTAGGAAGGAACTTTAGTATTAATTCCTCTTTTGTTTTTCTAAAAATGTAGGTTTTAGGTCTGCAGCGAGAAGCTTGAAAAGGTATGGATGATGCTGAATCATAGCCAGTTTAACAATTTAGTTTGTTTTAACTGATTTGTAAAATTAACATAATATAGCCTCTTGTGGCACTGAATCTAGATGACTGGTAATGATTTTAAATGCATAAACATAAGTTCAGTACTCTGTTACATATGCAGGCCTAATAATGCATTTTGCTTGGCTGAATGCTGTCCTATGAATTAGGAGGGGAAATGCTACTACTTACAGCAATTTTGAGCTCATCTTGTATGACGTAGTTATACTCCAAAAAATCTCTCACATTATGGAAGGGGACATTTTTCATTTCAAACAGAGCAGCAGTTTCACTGAGTACTTTAAGAACAAAGGGGATGTCTTCAGAAACATTCTGCAGGGGGGGAAAGTCAAATATAACAAAAAAAAAGGGGAAAGTTTGAAACTCAACAAAAGTGGGCTCCCAGCTCTGAAAAATACAGAATGAAAAGGTCAATGAACTCTACCCAGCCACAAGGACCAGGGATCATTACACACAAAAGACCAGCTGATGACACCCATCAATCACAGTGGCAGATAATCTCTCCTCCCTATCACAACAATACACCCACAACAAGAAACACTAATCGCCCATCTCCTGAAAAGGACAAAAGTCTATCTCACAGCCATAAATACTCCACTCCCAAACAAACTGCACCAGAGCACAGAGTGTTGTCCTCTGAACATGCTGGCCACAGAGACTGGCGAAATATTAGGAAGAACAACCTTCATAATATGGCTAAAGAGCCTGAAAAACCCACAACAACCATTAGATCCCGGCCATGAAAGCCCTCATGAATACATCAAATATAATGATTTAGGCTGTCTGAACATTAACCCCAAAATAAATCTTATTGAACTAAACGAGACCTACTTTGAAGTAGCTATGTATAGGTCTGCATTGGCCCAAATCCTGATGTTCAGCGTAATAAATTGCACTGAAGCAGGGCTATTGAATCTATGGGGATTTGGTGAATCTACTCCATAAATTCCATCGATTCAAATCAGTCTACTCCAGCTGTAACCTACTATGCTAGACTAAGTCACAGTTAAAGTAGATCAGTTTGAATCAGTGTAATTTATGGAAGAGCTGACTTACCAAACCCCAGTTGATTGAATGGCCCTGCTCAAATATGATTTACTACATTGAGCAGCAGGATTTACTATACTAAGCAACAGGATTTTGGCTACTGCTTTCCAGCCAAATCCCTCGAGACAAGGAATTCTTTTATTGCAATAGCTCAAAGAGTAGAGCTGATATGCAATCTCATTCCAATACATATGCATACATATATTGTTATTTATTTCTGTCCCAGCAAGATCTCAAAGAGGCTTGCACTTAAACTACAATAAAGCAATAATAAGCACACAACGGAAGGACCACAGAACAAATGAAAGAAGACAGGTACAGATAAATAAATCCAGCTGAACTCATTAAAACCAGTGTACCATCACGATCACCCCTAAACTGTAAAAGATGTCCAGAGGAATGGAGAAAGTCTTTGATATAATTGCCACTTGCCATATTTCTATCAAAGGAGGTACCCAATGATTCTCCTGCTTGAGGTGGATTGGATTATGGTCAAAGGAGGTACCCAATGATAGTCCAAGACATTCTCCTGCTTGAGGTGGATTGGATTATGTCTTTTATGACAGTGGTCCCCAACCTTCGGCCCCCAGATGTTCTTGGACTACAACTCCCAGAAACCTTCACCACCATCTCTGCTGGCCATGATTTCTGGGAGTTGAAGTCCAAGAACATCTGGAGGCCCAAGGTTGGGGACCACTGTTTTATGATACTTGGAGGCACTGGGGACACAGGACAGGCTCATGTGGGGATTCAGGTAGTGCTCTGGGGAGATGATGGCACTTCTGACTCACTCTGTCTAATATTAGGGCTAGCCTTGGGTTCAGCAGAGGTCTACTCAAAAGTGCAAGACACAGTAAGTCTCGCAGTCTCCCTTTGCCATTCCATGTCAAAAGAAACTTCATGGAGCCACTGCAGAATTATTTTGTTCCTTATATGGCTGCTTCCAAGGATTTTCACGCCCATCCTCTCACCCACCTATTGAAAACAAGGTGCCAGCAGCGACCGGCCTCCCACCTCAACTCACTCACTTGCATAATGGCCTATAGAGGAAGCAGAAAAAGAGATGGTACCAGCAGCTTATTAGCTGAGGGCAGTGCAGGACACATAATAATGGACTAAAGTTTTAAGAAGCTAAGTTACTCTGAATATCTTTAGAGTAGTACAACAATAGAACCAATTACCTCAGGGAGAGGTGACCTCTCCAACATTGGAGGCCTTCAAGAGAAAACTAGACAGCTTTCTGCTGGATATACTTTAGCCTGGATTCCTGCATTGAGCAAAGAATTGGACCTGATGGCCTTACAGGCCCCTTTAATCATCCTACAACTCTATGAGGAGGGAGGAGGAGGCAGCCAGCACATGCTGCCTCCCAGAGGTCTTTATGTAAAGATATTCTGTGACTTGGATAGTTCACTCTGAAAGGATCCTTGAAGCTGAGACAGGTGATATGAAATACTGTCACACGCTTCTCATCCTGTCAAGGTTGCTTTCATAGCATGCTTTGAAGACCCCTTTGGAGACAATCATTGAAATAATAGAATGGTTTCTAATGACTAATGTTTTAGGTTCTGGTGGCCTTCACCTTCTCCTCCTCCATGAGAAAACCACCAACACCACATTTTCTGAGGTGGACCTCAATGAGTGTGTGAACAAACCAGGAGATGTACTGTGCCACCATCTTGTCTTTCTCCTCAGTGTGCTGGTAGGAGGTGACATTGTCATCTTTTTCTCTTCCTGCTGTTCTTTCTTTGACTGGTGGCTGTTGTCTCTTTTTCTCTCCTTCCTTATCCAGGAATGAGGGGGAGGGGAGTGCAGAGAACCTGCGCTGTGGGAGAGACATCTCCTTTGCTGTTTATGTTTGGGAGGGTTCAATGCCTGAGGTGGTGCTATGTCTCCCTGCCTAATCTCTCTGCAGTTTTGAATGAAGATAGGTCGTAATTGACCAGATAGGCGGGGTTCAAATCAATCAATCAATCAATCAATCAATCAATCAATCAATCAATCAATCAATCAATCAATAAGGCAGCAGGGGAGCCTCTGCTTGGATAGTCAGGTCTGTAGAATAGCTTTCTTTCTCCATCTTTTAGAACAAAGATATGTAACATAGAGATTGATTAAGGAAATTTCAAACAAATTGATTTGTTTTGGAGGTTGGTGTTGCCCGGGGTTCTCGTCAAGCAAGGAGATATTAAGATCACCTGAGTTACAAGGTATACATACTGCTTAACTACTTACTGGTTTCACTATGTCTCTTGGATCACATAAACTGCCTTTGTCCATAAAGGAACATTCTTGAGATGGGCCTTCTGGGTTCTTAAAGAGAGAAAAGAAAATGTACGAAGTGAGAAAGAACACCACAATACCCAAAACAAATTTGCTTTTGTACCTTGAGCAGAGGCAAAGCCTTTACTTCTGAGGGCAACCTGAGATACTTAGTGAGTCCCATCAGTGCAAGCTGGGAAAAACCAATTCTGGGTTTTAATCCAAACTTTAAAGGAGCTGTCCAAATGGATATGATTCAGCACTTTGGAGAAGTCCTAAAACTTAAAACCTGCAGACAACTACACATCCCATTGATATTGGAGCGCCAATATCTGTTTTCTTGTCTCCTGACCTATCCTTTGAAGAAGTTTTCTTTGTCCTCTCTATGAAAGTCTTCCAGATATTTGAAGATTTTTTTTTCATATCTCCCCTTTGTTAGGGTAATTATATCCTTCTTTTTAGGACTTTGTTCCCCATTCAGTCGTACTTGTCCTTTTCTTGATATGCTTCTGACTGTCAATGTTTTTTTAAAAAAATACTGGAATAATGAAAGGTATCAGGCTGGAGCACATTTCCTCACATGTCATGTGATTGCACCAGACTGCTCCATAAGTGGTCCAACTCCTGACTTTTAAAAGGAATCCTTTAAACCAGTGGCTCTCAGCCTTGGGTCCCCAGATATTTCTCCAGACTAAGAGTCGGAAGCCTTTACCACTAGCTGTGCTGGCCAGGAATTCAGGGAGTTGTAATTCAGGTTGGGAACCATTGCTTTAAACAGGCGTATTTCCTAAAAGAGAATGCAGTACTACTTACCACTTGATCCAATTCTAGCCAAAGTTCTCGCCAGTTGATCTTCAAGAGACAGTTGGCCTCACTGTTTCTGACAGTAACAAACGCACGGTTGAGGAAGCAACCAATGTTCAGGAAAAGGAGGCTTCTGAACCAACACATTTTCTGAGCAAAAACAATAACAACCCTAAACTTAGGGTTATTTGAATCAAACTAGCCATTTCAGTCTCGAGACACTATGGTAACGTGTTCTGTATGGAGGACTTAGAACAGCGTCTAGTGTGGCTGAGAAGGCCAATTCGAGAGTGACCATCCCTTCCACACGGAAGACAAGTACAATCTGTCATTGCAGGTCATGAAACTAGTTGCCACTTGTCACACAGAACATCAAAACCCATAAAATTACTTGCAGGAGACACGCACCAGAACAGATTTCTATACAGTATTGCCCTTTCTTTCTACTAAATACAATTTGAGCACACCCCAATAATGGAGATTTCTCCGTTGAAAAGGCCATTCCTTGTCAAGAAAAGCATAATCATATCGAGTTTGTTCTTTTGCATTTTCACACCCTGAACATGAGAGTTAACGACAGGTTGTTTTCCCGTTCTGTTCATGGTACCAACATGGACTTGAGGAGCACTGATTTCCCCTAGCATTGTATTTCAGTAGCATTCCCCTAATTGTGGTGAATATCATATTCACGACTGCATATTTTATTTATTTATAAAACATATAGAATGCCTGATTTAGTGAACCACTACTTGGTGCAGTTTACATACTTAAGCAGAGCATACAACCAATAAGAGGTGGGCACGAACCACCAATCAGTTTGCAGCATACATACAGTTGACATGGGAAACTGTCACTTGAAAGCCCCGCCTCCTTCAGCAGGCGCCCACTCAGAGGCAGCAGCTGGGCTTCCCTGCCCCGCCTCCTCTGGATGTTGCCTCTGAGTGGATGCCCATCAGATGAGGTGGGACTTTGAAGTGCCAATAAACAGACCGGCGTAAACTGGCCAAACCCGCAGTTTGTTCCCATTTCTACAACCAATTAAAATAGTAAAATAACAAAAAGCATAATAAAAAAGCATAATACCACAACTAAACTTTACTTTACTTTAATTAGATTTATACCCTGCCCCTCTAGACCAGGTCTACTCGGGGCGGCTAGAACAGGTGACTGAGGATTGACACCTGATAACGTAAATCAAACCAAATTACAGGAAATATAAAAATAATAAATAAAATGTGCATCAATGTAATAAAAATTAATCAATGATCACAGAATGCACAGGACTCATAAATGAGCCTAAAATACTGCTCAAAAGACCTCCTTAAACAACTCTTTAGTAAGCTTCTTAAGATCTGTATGACATGGCCTGTCTCACATCTGATGGAAGTCTGTTCCCTAGCAAGGGTACCACTGCTGAAAATGCCCAGGTCCTAGTATTATTTCCCTTTATTTCCCTTTGGGTGGGCACCCTGAATATTGCAGCCTGAAAGGAATGCATAGAAATCTTGGGGAGAGGAGCTTCAGTAAATAACAAGCTGCCAAGCTGTTTAGGGTTAGCTAAAGCCGAGGCAGGTAAGCGTTTACAGTAATGGGGTCTGCATTTAATATTGGCTTTGAAAGGGCATATGTAAACTCTCTCTCTCTCTCTCTCTCATCAGCACACTAAAATGGGGCAATGAGATGCCCTTTCCCACCCTGATGATATCTGGAAAACAGTGCATGATTCTCCAAAAATCTCCACCAGGATGGCTCTTTTTCCCCAAGGATCTTCTGTTTCCTCACAATGCAGCAAAGGGTGGGTACAGTGCCTCACTTTTAGAGGTGCATAGTGCACAGGGCGCTGTGCGAGCCGCAAATTGTGCATCTGTCAGCAGGAAGAACAAACGTTGTTGCTGCAATGATTACACCTTTCCAAAAACAAGGTGGGCATAACAGAGATGGAAAATGATCCGTCGCTCCTGGACAGGATTTGATAGGATGGTTAAGATTCTGCAGGTACCGCTGATCATTTCCACCTGATTTTCAATTTTTTTAAAAAAAGTGTTTTTGATAGCTTACTTTCAGCCACCAGGCAGCAAAATCCTGTCAAGCTCATGAACAAGGGGAACATTTTAGACATGTAGTGGGACAAGGGTTGTCTCGTCTAAAAAACTTTGGGGGGCCCCCATGGAGACATTTCATCGGTTACATCCCCAGGCTTCCTCTACATCTTACTGGTGACAGAAGAACTTTAGCTAAGCAATAGGTTTGAAAGAAAAAAGAATTGTATTTTCTCACCTTAGGTCCTGACGCACCGCTTTGGAGAAGATGTGAAGATCTCATTCTGTAGGTTACCTTGAATACCTTATAAATACTTTTCTCTTCATCCTCAGTTCCTGTCCTGCCCCTTTTTCAACAAACCATGAAACACTTCCTTCTTTCAGTATTCCACCTGTTCAGGTAAATTTAATTCCAGGCAATAGAAAAATGTCATGTGTGGGTGGAAATATTTGAGAGGGGGGGAAAGTTTCCAGATTTTAAAAGTCCAGCATCATGTCGATAGAAACCAGTAACCCAACTGGACCTGATGATGTCATGCAGTTTTGAATGAAGATATAGTAACATTAATAGTAACAGTGGCAGTAATATTAATAGTTTGATTACTTCAAAGTAAACTGTCTTCACAATCTAACGTAACCCTTACAAATTCACTATATTCAGCAACAGGTTAACATAAACTACATGAGAGTAAAATAACAAGGGGAAAGGAGGATTGATCTTTTGACTGTTGCAATCACAATTTTCTTATGCCACCATGCTGATTTGGGGATTTTGAATGGTCCTAAAAGTACCTCTAGTTTCTAAAACAGGAAGTAGGGCTCCTTCTAAGATTGAACATCTAGTGTTTTTAGCAAATATTTTAACTCGGCCCTACATAGACTCAATGCCATCAAGAAAGCATGATAGGACCATCAGTCTTATTACTGCTGGCTAACCATTGTGTGGTGGGAGCTATTACTGTTGTTTTGTGCACTCAAGTTGTTCCAAATTATGGCAACCCTAAAAATGACTGGTCTCCAACATGTCCCATCATCAACAGTCCTGCTCAGCTCCTGCAGATTCAAGCCTGTGGCTTCCTTGAGGAATTCAATCCATCTTGTATTTGGTCTTCCTCTTTTCCTGGTGCCTTCCATCTTTCCAAGCATTATTGTCTTATTCCAGAGCATCCTGTTTCTTGAGGTGCCCAAAGTAGGACAGCCTCAAGTTTCAGCATGTTTGCCTCCAGAGATAGTTCAGGCTTGATTTGATTTAGGACCAACTCATTCATCTTTCTGGCAATCTAAGATAGCTGCAAAACTCTCCTTCAGCACCATATTTCAAACAAATCATTTCCCCTCTTTCAGCTTTCTTAGCTGTCCAGTTTTCACACCCAGCCATGGTGACTGGAAATTCGGTGTGTGTGGATGATCTTGGTCTCGGTCTCCAGTGACACATCCTTACAGTTGATGATCTTCTCTAATTCCTTCACTGAGTGGGAACTGTAGTCCCTCACTTTTATAGGGTACAGTGGACCCTCGACTTACAGATGGCTCGACTTACAGACTTTTCGAGTTACAGACTTCTCTGGCCACAAAATTTAGATTCGACTTGCAGCTGGAGAATCGACTTACTGACCAGACAAAAACCAAAATGGAACAAAAATAGAATAAAAACTGCCAGTTATGGGATTAATTGGTTTTCAATGCATTGTAGGTCAATGGAGATTCGACCTACAGACTTTTCGACTTGCAGCCACCATTCCAATACGGATTAATTCCTTAAGTAGAGGGTCCACTGTACCAGGTTGGAGAAGGCTGAGTTAACCTGCTTAGAGAGGGCTAGCATAGCATGCTGGTGGGAAGGGATTTCTAGGACTGGTACAAGGAATGAAAAAAAGATCCATGATAGGCAGGTTGCCCGATGGTTCCTGAACCACATGAGCAAAGTCTTGCTTCATGAGAGACATTGCTACTAGGGTTGTACACCAGCTTGGATTGAAACCCAAGTTGCTAATTGAACTAATCTGATGGTTGTTGTGGGTTTTCCAGGTTGTTTGGCTGCATTCTTAAGGTTTTTTTTCCCTAAAGTTTCACCAGTCTCTGTGGCTGGTCTCTTCAGAGGACATCATGATATCATGAATTATGCCAGTTCCCCCTTTCTCCCCAGTCCACTTTTCTTCATCCCCCGCCTGCAGATTGGGGGGTGTCAGTTTGTACTTCCCTTCAATCTGCAGTCCACATTGAACAGATACAACTGTTCCCACTGGGAACCCCATGGTATCTACGTGCATATACTTGTTAAAGACAAGGAAGAAAACGTGGCAACTCTAATTCAGGATTCAATCCTCTGCTTTCACATCAGTACATGTGCATGCTCACACACATAGAATCATAAGTGAGTTGGAGAGCACCTAGAAGGCTATGATGACCAACTCTCTACTCAAGGCAGAAATCCAAATCAAAGCAGAACTGACAGATGGCTGTCCAATTTACTCTTGAATGCCTCCAGCATTGGAGCACTAACTATCTCATGGAGCAATTGATTCCTTTGTCGTACTGCTCTAACAGTTAAGACTTTTTTTCTTGATATGCAGCCTAAATCTGGCTTCCTGTAGCTTGAGACCATTATTATATGTCCTGAACTCTGGGATAATGGAGAACAGATCCTGCCCCTCCTCTGTATGATTACTTCTCAAGTATTTTCAAGTATTTGAAAAGTGCCATCATATTGGTGAGCTTGTCAAGTTTTTATAATGACTGGAGGAGGCTTTCCTCTCGGTCTCGCCACCTTCCTAGGCATGCCTGCTGAAGACACAAGAAAAGACCTTCTTGGTTTCTATGGAACTTGATTTCTGCAAGACACCTTCTAAAGGGAGACTAGGTTGTCCTCCTCTCTGGCGTCCTTTTCCCAGCAGGCAAATGTCCTTCTGTTTAGGCAGATAAACAGCAATGGATTTGTGCTTGTTTTGACATATAAAGCCCTAAACGGCTTGGGCCCTGGATACCTGAAGGACCACCTCCTTCCATATGAACCTACCCGGCAGTTAAGATCTAGCCA